TCTCTCTCTCTCTCTCTCTCTCTCTCTTCTTCTTCTTCTTCTCTTCCTCCCCCTCCCTCTCCGCCCCCTCTCTCTCGCCTTTAGTACATGGTATATTAAAGCAACATGTAACTGTCCGTTAACTTGGCAGCTAACACGATAACGCGTTTCACGCATATTGAATCTTGCTGGCAGCCAATATTTGCTATATGACCTCTGGGAGTATTATCTCAGTCTCACATTACCACCAACGAGAGACAGTAGGAGCCTGGCCACCAGAATGTGGCGTGGCGTCGTTGCTCTTGTGGTTGTACTCAGTGCACACTTATACCAAAGATCTACGATCTTCGCTTATACCTAGTGCACACGCCAAAAGAATTCGGCCGAACTGAGTCAGGCCGTACTTTTTCCTCCATGGAGGGGGTAAAAGCTACCGTTTTGGAACCATAATTGGATAAAAACCCTCTAAAGTCAAACATGGTTGTTTTTGGAGGGTTTGATCAAATTGTGTCAAAATGACAGCTTTAGCCACTCCAAGACGGAAACACCTGGCCGGGCCTGGCTGTATGATAAATTGTAATGGATTTAAAAAAAAAATGAAATTGCGGGTTCCGGGTTCAGGGTTTGAGGCTCAGATCTGTCCGACAACGACACGGTGTCCTTGGGAAAGGCACTCTACACGAGTTTTCCCATTTGACTTGATCCTGTCCCACCTCTTAAATAAACAGACGGTGTTGACATGCTGTGGTTTGTATAATTCAGGGAAGATTTTGGTGGGTTGGGGGTCGGGGTGGATTGTTATAGATGGTTACGCGCAGTTGGTGGATAGTTGGCGGGTGCTCTGGTGTGGTTTGCTTCTTCTTTCCTATCAAACATCTATCGTCCTTATCCCCCCTTCTTCTTTTTATGTTTGTTACTCTCTTGTAACACTTCTAATCTTCGGCGCTCTTAGAACCTTATGCAGTTGCGAGCGCCGTAAAACCTCTACTAAAAGTAAACTAAACACAGTCCAGATCAATGAGTCGAATACAATGTCCTTGGACATTTGACTTCTCATATTTTGTCGACACGCACAAATCAGAAAAAGAAAAGACAAAATTATACATTGCTTCAGGACACGCACTGTTGATGAATTACCAAGAGAAATGCTCGGGAAACTTAGAAGCTAAAAGGTCAAGCATACGTCGGTGACACGGCGTTTAGGTGGATGGTCATTGGGTTTGTTCGTGATCATGATACGATGACACTAACTACCCCCCCCCCCCTAAATATTAAAAAACACACACACAAAAACTTCATCCCAAAAAAGCAACAACAAAACAACAGCAACAAAAACAACAACAACAACAACAACAACAAACATACAAACAAAATCAAAACAAAAAAAGCAGGGCACAGATGTGACCAGCAATGGCGTGTTGTTTACAATGTATATTATGCATGTTTCCGTATGTATGTATCCATGTGCTGTACAGTATTTATGTATATATAATTATACGTAACAGATTCGTAAACCAAATTCCCCCACGAGGATCAATAAAAGCGGATAATGGCTATTATTTATTATAATCAAGGGGAACACTTTAAGATAGTTACTAAATTGTTGTCCATACCTTCAGACTAACGTCAGGGACAAAAGGAGTCAACTCTACTGGTTTCCACAGGTAGCGTCACAAATCCCACTGAAACTCTGCGTAAAAAAAAAAAAAAAGAACAATTTAGAGAGGCGAAATCAGTCCACATCAAGCACCTTAGTCAACGTGCCAGAACACCAGAAAAAATAAAGCTATCCGGAAAATGGTACAACTTACCAATATCTAAGTCTGCGTGGTCAGCAGATTTAGATTTAGATCCGTGAAAAATTAATTTGAACAAGTAACATAATTTGTTTCCTGTGAAGTCACAGGTCTCTTTTAGTTGCGCGTTGTCTGAACATACTAGAGGTTTTTTTCTTCTTTTTATTATTTGGTCGACAACTTTACAGCACAGCATAGGTTGCCACGCTCTGTCGGTTATTTTCAATCCCGACCTTGTTCAACAAAGTGATATTTCTTTCTGAATGTGCCAGGCTAGATAGTAGATAGCGTTGTCCTGAATCAGGTAACAATCACACAATAAATATAATGGACATCGGCATTTTTTTCCGTCTAGACTGTCTTTCTTCCGTCAGTGGTAAAATGCCTGATAAAAATATTCTTGCAGATAAGTCCTGTCGTAACAGACAATTAATGAATACTTGTAAAATTCAGGATTAACGTAATCAAAATAACAGGAAGACTCGCAGGTGACTCTTTTTAATTAAAGCTTTGTTTTTATAGGTTTTATTTTATTTCTCGCTATTTCATCGTAGCAGTTTTGTTTGGGCGTAGTAAGTGAACACGTTGTCGTTTCCTCGCTTGCTGTGTTGGGCTATCATTGTCAGTCTATTCCTGTGTTGGGCTATCATTGTCAGTCTATTCCTGTGTTGGGCTATCATTGTCAGTCTATTCATGTGTTGGGCTATCATTGTCAGTCTATTCCT